ACAACCACAACCACAACCACAACCACAACCACAACCACAACCACAACCACGACGACAACAACAACAACAACAACGAAAAAGGACACCAATCGGAATCGACATTAAGCGGTCACAGCTCATAGGCAAAAAGGTCCAATAAGTCATTAACCATCAATGTAGACTCTTGATGATATTTCAACACCCCACATGGAGAGGCTTTGCAATCCAAACATGGGGGGTTATAAATCATTATGAATCAAGAGTCTTGGGTCTTTGCAGAAAGAGTTTGACCTGGTCTATCCCGGTCTTTCTTTCATAAACTTTCAGCTACAACGCTCCGCCGGTCTTTGTCGCGACACCGCCGGGTGAGCCGGAAGATCGCGTCCACGTCCGGGTCCTCATCCGCCAAGAACTGTTGCACCGCCGGGGCGCGGCGAAGCCTGTGGGATGGGTGGGCTGAAGATGGCTGAAGTGGTCTCTTCATGAAGAAGATCTTTGATCTGATCACCCGAGAATATCTTGGGAAGAGTGGGGGGTCCCGGGATTCCAAGAAAGGTGTCTCTGTATTGTCTCCTAGGTCCTAGTTCAACTCTTGATGGACTTGGGACTTGGAGGGCATTCCCCGTTTTGATTGCAACGCCCATTTTGATCCCTTTTGGATCCTTTTGGTGCATTGGATGGTGCTTGCGTGAAACGGATGTGGTTATAGGCTGATGCTCCAAAGATGACTCTTCACTTTGTAGACTTCGAACAATTGTGTGAAGCCTACCCGCATGCACTGTACAAAGCCATGCAGCGTCTTCACGACAATGGTCTTGTTGAAGGTCTCCTGAGCCTGGACATAGTCCAGCGGAAAGCCTCTGGGCCACATGTGTCCACAACCTCAGGCACGGGAAATCCCTCAAGAGGGAAGGACCACGGGAAATGACATGGAACAAAAAACAGCTGATCTAAGAACTACATGAGCACTACACCACCAGCTGGATGGAGGTACGACTGGGCCTTTGAGAGGTTATGTTTCAATCTCATGGTTCGGCCTTGGCAAGCTCATGTAATAATGTATATATAGTCATAATATGTATTTATATATATATTTTTTCTTGCATATGGTTGCTAGGACCATCTGATGTTCAAATCCAAGCAGCTGGGTTGAAAGCTGGGATATGGATTCATCAGCCCGGGTCCACCTGTGCTCATCACAGGTTTGATGACAAAAAGAAACTGACATCAAGCGCCCAGGTAGTACTGGAGCATAATAAGACAATATATGTCTTTGTATCGCACCACAGACTCTATATGAATCTATCGGGGTGCCAGGTGGTTTGAGGGTGCAATCAGCCAATATCAGCCACACCAAAACACATGAACCAAAGAATAGCTGAAACATGCTCAAACGCAAAGCATGAAAAGGATCCTCTCACAGCCCTATGCGTGTGGTTCTCCTGAGAAATGATAGAAATGCCAAGTCACCCGGGTCACCCTCTGGCCACGAGACGTTGGCCGCCAGTTCGTCGCCCAGGATCGGGATCCGAGGTTCCTTCCTGGGACGGCCGTCATGCGACATGGGGAGTCATGCCGACGCGGGGAGTTTTCCAAGACATGTCCGTTTTCCGTTTTCTATGGTTTTCTATGGATTTCGTGAAATTGGAAGGGTCAAAATGGTTCTTGGTGCAAAGTAACATCCTTGGGGCCGTGACCGACAAATGTGATGACACATGGTAAAAATAAACATATAAAAAGTCGACACTTACTGTAGTACTTAGTACGGTGGGCAAGGGACAAACCCAATCCTCTAAGGCAAATGAACTCGACCCATGCCGGTCCGCGACCCTCAAAACGCTTGGGACCCTGGGTTGGACCAGTTTCCAAATACCAAGCTAGCGCGGTCCTATGCCATGGCGCATTGATGAAACGAGTGCGACGGCTGTGCAGCAAATTGATCCAAATTCTGGATCCCGTGACAAGGTACTTTCACAATTCACAAGGGGTGCCTTGTGTGATGAACACATGCCAACGCTTGTCTGATAAACACATGCCAACCATCATGTCACATGACATAAAACACAAGGGGTCCTAATAAGATCTAACAAGGCACTGGAAGAGTGGTTCGTTCGACGATCAACGAGGTGGCAGAATACCTTCATCCAGGTGTCAAGCGGTTGTCGTCATCCGTATCATAGATGACTTTGGCACCATGCGCGATGGCGAAGAGGAACCCCACATTCTTTCCTCACTCGGCGGCATTTTGGGGGCTGCCGGTTCAGCGGTCTAGCATAATTATGAACGGCCTCTCGACCCGGCTTGGGATTGGAGAGTATGCAAAGGGTAATGGCGGGTATGCCATCCCAAAAGCGCACATGCCAGAACTGACATGTGCCTGTTTCCCACTTATTTGCTCTCTTTGGAAGTGGTTTCCAGAGGATTGCCATCTGAGACAGGGCTTGCAACAGTTGTAAGGCCACAACATGAATGCGCTTTTTTACGGGGCTAGACCATGCTAGACCTTCATTGGAAGCAATAAGAAGCCATGATCACTCAGCTGGAAGCCGTAGGAACACGAATAGGATCGAATAGGTCACATCGAAAAACCGCACTTTTCTTGCTCATGGATGGTGACCGAGACTCGCCCGAAGTGGCGCCAAGGGAGGTAGTCCATGATGTGAAAATGAAGCGCCTTCTGCCGTTCCACCGTGAGGTAGATCACGCCCTCCACGTCGTAGTCCTCACGCGCGGGGTGCGTGAGTTCTCTCAAGTCTGATCACTTCGTCCTAGCAACCAATTCTGTCAAGCCATCATGGCTTCTTCCCTCAGCATGGCGGACAAAAGATCTACCTAAGGTATTGATTTCACTGGTTTACGCACCAGATGGCCTGCCACCAAACCACACCCAGTGATTTGCCAAGGCCTCCACCTCAACTGACGAGCGACAAACTCCCCCCTCCAACCTCCTCCCACTCCTAAGCCCACCACCCTGCGAAGAGGCTCCACACAGCAAACTCCTCCAACTTCTTCCCACCAACCTCCAACCAACCTGCCAACCTGCTCTCCAACCAACCTCCGCACGTCCGCTTAACTCGCTCCGTTCTAACGCCTGAGGTCCGTTCTGGTCGGCCACCACCACGAAGCACCATCCTTGCTTCGTCATCGCCCCCAGGCTCCGCGTGGCCTCCGAGGGCGCGAAGATGGAGGTCACCACGATCCAACGCTCGCAGCGCTCCTGCGAGCGACAGGCGCGCCAAAACGTAGCGGCACGGGATTAAAGGGGATGACTGGCCTTTGGGGAGCATACTGTGTAATATTTTTGGATAGGTAACAGGTCCTTTCAATTGGACCTAACTGTATACATTACATACAATATTGCATTATTGATCATATTCTATCATTATTGCTAACATCAAAGGCCTCCATCCTTTCCTCATCAGCCACTCCCTCCTTTTCACTCCCTTCTCTCCACCAATTTTGAACACATCTCTCCACCCTACCCCCAATCCAATCCCCACCCCCAGAGTTTAGCACCTGCCATCGGCTTCGCCACCCTGTGAACCGCAGCTCTGGGACCTCTCGCAGTCGCTCTCCGCTGAAGCGTCGCCCCGACACGCCGCTGGTGCTGCTGGGCGCCGTGAGACTCGTCGCTGAGGCGAGCAAAACGGCGGGCGCGGCCACGAGGAGAGCGAGCGCGGCGGCGAAGGCCATGGTGGCGCGGGTGGTGCAACAAGCTTGACTTATTATCGAAATTTATTGGATATCCTTTCATGAGACACGAAGTATGCCATCTCTCAAACCGGGGGAGCACCATGGTTTTGTTGGGCATCATTTGCCTTCTCTCAGACGTTCCACTGTTCAGTTTGTTCGATCTGATGCAATGCTTGTTGTTTTTTCGGGGTTGGAGCTTCAAGACTCGTGCTATGTGGGGGCCTGGATCGGGCTGCCGTCGTTGACGGATCGCGCACTGACGGCCCTCGGTGTTGGGCCAGAATGCCAAAAAAGGACACAAACAACATTGATTTGTGGGGGGGTGTTGGTTGTTGGTTGGGGTTGGCTCATTCATGAAGCAGGACAGCCTTATGCAGCCTTGTTGGGGTCGCACATGGTCGCACGTGACTTGATGATGTTTGATCCTCTCAGGTCATGAGCTCATATTCTTCAGCTGATGGCTGCGCATGGTGAAGCAGTTCCACTTCTGAACACCCCCCAATTGGCCTTCTGCAACATTCCGCAAGAAAACAGGGCTTCAGAGCCCAATCCAAGTCCAAATGAATCGAGAAATGGAAGAGTCGGGGCAGCTCCAGGTGTGAGATGTGAATGCCTCCTCCAGCTTGACACACAATTCACGAGACAACAAGATAGGCACTTGATCTATGAGCAGGGGGGTCTCTCAGTTCAGTTCAATGTCAATGTCTGTTGTTGTCTGTTTAAGTGTGGAAACGTGTGGACACTCAACACCTCTCTCAGCCTAGCTCCAGTAATTACAGGATGCTGAGCCCCACACCCCAAAGGCCACCTAAGCCCAACTTCCCTCCAAGCGTCATGAAGGACGATGTCGCCCTGCTCTCCGTCAGAGACGAAGTCAGGAAAGGCCAGAAGCACGGTCGGCGTGATGAACAAGTTCACCGCCATGGCACACCTCAACTGCTCGTTCGTTCAGCGGCTGAAAGCGCGTCCGTGCGTCCCACGCGTCGTTCCCTGGGCATCGCGTCGTTCCCTGAACTGTCAAGCGCTGGTTCGTGCTTGCTTTGGCACGTGGAAGAGTTGTAGACCAGAAGTTTTGCAAAGACCATGCTGTCTGTTTTCTAATTACAGTACTGTTACACCCTCCACGACTTCCTGAAGCCCTTGCCACAGTATATGCCCACATGATCCCACATGTAGCCAGCAAAAGTCCAGAGTTGGTACATGTGGGTTCGGAAATAGCATAAACGGCATAGATATGCATAAACCACCTGGCCTAGTTGAGGCAAACGTTTAGCCCACCACTCCCTGAGCTCGTCACAGGATGGAGACCAAAACCCCTGCAGGCTTTGAGGAAGGCCAGGCGGAGAAAAAGGACACGCATCACAACCGAGGATCTGAACAATATGATCTCAGGCTACCAGGACCATCTAAAGGGTGTAAAATGGACGCTTGGCCTGAGTGGTGTCGGGTCCAAATTGGTTGGATGGTTCTGGATGGTTCTTCCTTTTTCTTCGGAGAATTCATTGGTTTGATCCGTTTTTGTCCCTTCATGGAGATGGAGTTTTGCAACCCATGGAGAGAGAGGTGTTTTTCGCCAAGGCCTTGGCCCATCGACCTCAACGGTCCACTGAAACGATCTCAAAGTGGTCGACGTGGTCGATCGACGGTGCTTTTCGGAGGGCTTGACTCGAAAAGAGTTCACATCCACTGTGCCCCAAGAAGTGCACCATTGCAGAGATCATTCTACCCAACATGGTTTTGTCAAATCGAGCCTCACAAGTTTGCATGGTAGAGCTTTGTTCGTGCTCTTCTTGCAAAAGAACTTCAATTCCTCGAACAGGATGGTTTTTTTCTGATCCCAGGTGTGTTCCTGTTGTCCTTTCCCCCGCATCAAACGCGAACTCGCTGCGCAGAACACGCGAACTCGCGAGTGCGCGGCAACTGTTGTCCTTCCGGCCTATGCTCAGGCTAAAGGATTCCTGCAGTGGCAGCTTTTGCACGGCCAGGCCGCAGTAGCACAAGGTGAAGCCCGAGGCGAGAATCACCTCACCGAAGCGAGGGGTTTCCGCCGAAGCTGGGCCCAGGCGAACGAGGCAGCACGCTGGGCAGCTGGCTTGCAGCATTAAGATGTTGGGATCCTTTGAGTGACTCAGAGATTCCAAGAGCAAATAGTACCCCTCTTAAGAACAACGGGTGCTTCGGGTGAAAGTGAGTTTGCCCAGTGGTGATTCATGGTGACTCCTATCAAAAAGAGTTGCTGAAAAGGAGATCTTGGCCACTGCGTCTAGGCTCAAAGGAAGGACATCAATCCCCGGAACATCATCGCGAGAACCATGAACCCTTTGCAACATGGCCGAGCACAAAAGCCCGTCACCCAACTCAACCCAAGGTTTCCAGTGGTCGGCACTTGACGTGAGGTCACCTTTGTGAAGAACAATGGCGCAACTAGTGTAAGAGTTATAGATCATCCACCGACAACGACAAGGTAACAAATCTCGTCGAACTGTTTGTTTGAGAACTTCTTAGTCTTGCTTGCTGGAGATTGAAGCCACCCATCACAGTTTGTACCAATGTGCTTGTTAGCAACTTGTGAGCAATGCATCAAGACTCTGTAGCCCTGATGAACAAAATCGTGTTTGCCTATATACCTGGATTCTTCATCGCCCATGGTTGTGAGTGGTTTGGTTTTAACGCACATTCCATCCATGTGGCCCTCGAACTGTCTATGACAAGTGACATGGCCACTATACCGCACTGAAGCCTCAGCAATGAGTCTGCATCCCCAGCAAAACCCATTATATATACATAACATAGAGTATTTATACGGCAAAGACTTCACCTGTGCGAATGAGAAAACGGATGAACAAGGAGTCAACCAACCGAAGTCTGCCAGGCATGTGACGTTCACACTCGAAGGCCTGGCAACTTGTCTTGTCTTGGGAGCCTATCATATGGAACCACGGCACTGCTCAGATTCTCAATCGGAGCAAAAGCTGTAGCCAACGCTGCTTCGTGGGACAAACTCTTCAACTTTCAAACAAACCCTCTTCTTCAACACTCAGTCAGTCCCACAGTGCTTTCTGTTATATAATCTGCAAACTCCAAACAACAAAATTCAGGGTGTAACAGTCGTCAGCAGCTTGAAGCTGCTCTTACCAGGTCACCAGCACATTTCACAATCCCTAGCTTAAGTATAATGCTTGAATCAGTGTCAAACTTCACCAGCTCTCATTCTGATTGACACTCATGATTGTTATACAGTAACGTCTGTTAGCTGCTGTACTGAGTTGCCATACCTGTGATTCCACAAAAACACGAACACATATATTCCCAAACCAAACAGAACGAAACAAGGCATGCCGGACTCGACTGGTCCTTTGACCCATTCAGCCTCATTTCCAGCGAAAAGGAGCTGTGACAGCTCCCAGGTGTGACATGCCGATGGCTATCTCCTCCTGAAATCCTGGCCACATTGATGACGTGGCATCGTGAAGTCGATGCGATGATTGGCAAGTTGCACTGGAGACATGCGAGACCTAACAATCACATCAGTGATTCAATCCACATCAGGCAGTGCCTAATGTTGGAAACGGCAGTGCTTGTTGGAAAACCAAGGATGACAACCATGTTCATCGGAGCCACGCACGTGGCTCCAACGAATAGGTGGGGACCGGTGGGGGCGAAATATGTGAAAATAGCTCCTGTGTGAACCGATACTGGACGCGTGACAGTTGCAGATCCGAGCATGGCAGGAGCCCCCATCATCCCTTTCCTTCGGACTGGGTGGGTTGTCATAGGTTCACCATCACATCAAATCACATCACACTCATAATTCACAAAGGAAACATCAACTTGAACAACTCGAGGAACCTTTACACACACAAATACGAGCACAAGAGAGAACAGTTGCAGCCCAATAGTTCTGTACCATAGCCTGTAGCGCACTTTGATGAAGCCCCCCCTCCCTTGTACATTAAATCGATTTGAATCCTTCTCAACCAATCCTCTTCTCCCATCACGATAGGCTGGTGACCAAAAGTGCTCACACCCGAGCGCTATCGGTCGAGAGGCGCACGAGCAAGAAGAGGGAGTAGTCGAAGGTTAAAGCTATGAGAATGGATTCCGCCATTACTGGCACGCCTCAGGGGAAGCAAATTGTCACTCTGCATTGGTCACATGGTGAAGGCCCTGCAAGACCCAAAGAATCACCAACCAATAAAAAGCCTGGTTTCGATTCCGTTGTTTTACACAGAATACCACAGAAGTGTTCTTATCTGACCAACTTTGGTGATTCTTGTCTCCACCAACTGGAAAGGCTGCAGGAGACCCGACACCGTCGTGCCAATGTGGCTTGGTTTGCCCGGGGCGAGCCAGCTCGAGTTTCCTTCCCAGCCATCCATTCCACTGCGTGTTCCACCCCCTGCCCGAATCTGGTGGACACGGGGCTGGTGGACATGACAATGCCCGAATCGGCCATCCAGGTCATGATGGCGAAGCAAAGGATGTTGGCGCAAATCATGGACAACAAGGTGATCCTGCATTCGCGTCTCGTGGCATTTCGGGCTCCGAAGGTGATGTGCTTTTTGGGGCTTTGGTCAACAGAGATGGATTCAAAAATGCATGTGTAAAATGGAAGGCTCAGCTGGTTTTGTGTGGCGGTCACTGGGGGGTTTTCCGATTTCTCTGCTGACGGGAAGGCCAGCCTCATGGAAAGGGATTTGTCCTGGTTCAGGGCTGAAACTAGGCACAGGTACTTGGAAACGATTGGTACTCAAATTTGCTGGAACCCCCCTAACTACCTTTCTACTGAAAGCTTCAGTCAGATTTCATTGTCCCCATTCGTCATCACCTGCCATCTCGCCAAGCTTCAACATCAGCCGCCACGATTGGACCTCGGCCCAGCTCCACCAAGTGTAGATAAGGCTCCAATGAAGATCGAAGGAACATGAGTGCACCCCAAGATACTCAAAGCATACTCAAAGCAAGGGGATCCAATGGGTTTTCATGCACTGGCCAGGATATTGGAATGTGGCCCCCCATGATCTAAAATGCAGAA